ATGTATTGTTTTTATTAAAACAATTAAAAAAATTATCAACTATGAAAGTTTATTTACCACCATTAGGTGGTCATAATTATTTTTTTACTTTATTTGCACAAGAATCATCTAGATTAAACTTTATATTTCGAATTCGATGTACTCATGGAAATGCACCAGAACTATCTATGTGGATTGGTAGAAATAAATTAATCATGTATTAGATTTCGTAATAATATTGTGTGTGTTTTTGTTTTGTTCAAAACATTGTCTAAATTTCTAAATCACTTTTGCAGTAAACACTGATCCATTATATAATGAATAAAAAGTCGTCCTTTATTTTCTTTCACTTACAATGATTAATATTACAAATAAAGATTTGCCAGTATTAATTCTCGTTTACTAAAGTCTGTTTACCTAATAATAGAAGGTTTCGTATGGTAATTGAACATATGCGAGTCAAACTAGAGTACGAGGCTTGATCTTTTTCTGTCCACCCTCATACCCACACCCTAGACTGCTTCAGCCTGCCTATGTAATTTTGTACATGCTAATATTATGATACCTTTTCAATGAAACTAGAAGACTGTTTTAATCAGAAGGCAAGGATATCATATAAATCAAAATGAACTGATTTGAGGAAATATTTACGAATTGAGAATTCTATGTGTTTGTAGAAAATAAAGGGTGTTCCATCAGTAACGATCCCATTTTTATTTTTTGTGTATCTTACCTAAATTCAAAGGTGAAGAGATATTGAATATATATATTTCCCAGGTCGATCGTTTCGGTCACCGGATACTGCAGGAATCGGCAGGAAAGACTCGGAAAAATCGTCGGTTCCCGCAAAAAAAACACCGGAAATCAACGGAACATGGAAGCAGTAAATTTCAGGAAATACTAAACTCGCTATCCTCTATAACATATCAGAAAATCAGCGAATTCTAAGATCTACCACCATCGTCGATGTCTGAATCTCTCAGACACTTACTCTTAAGCATTTTTAATTTTTTATGTATGTGTCATTTAACTTGATTGTAGAGTAAATGAACTTTAGAAAACTTCAACGCTGAGGTTCTTGAAGAGCAACCAGTCGAGATTTTTTGAAAAGTCTGGTAAAACTACGCAACTTCAGGTGGGTGTTATTATCCACCTGACTAGGTAGTTACATCAAAGAAAATGAATTGAAGGTCTTTCTTTTTCATCCTTCTCATTATGTTAGTTTCGTACATTTTTAATGATTAATTTTACATGATTTTCATGTAACAATCATCATTTTCATGAATTGAAATCCAGATTTTCATCAATAAATTTTGAAAAACATTAAAGAATACGTCTGTTTCATCATCAAAAAAAGCATTTTTTTTTATTTCATGGCATCGCTTTTCTCAGGAAGAAAATTTCATTGAAATAATATAAATTACATGATTTTTTTGTCATGTTGTAAGTCACTGGAAACCTTATTTTGAATGGTAAGCACCACACTTCTCTATCTTGTTCCTATCGAATGTTATTCAGAAACTATTGACTTGTGTCATATATATATAGTATACATTTATTTTAATTAAAATGTAACATGATTCAATGTCACCATTTATTTCAAAACATTTCACAATGAAGCATGAACAAGAAAAGAATAAAATTGAAATGTAAGTTAATTTTTTTATACGAAAATTATATTGATTTTGATGAAAAAAAATTTTTTTTTATGAGAATTCAATAACCGTTAAGCATATATCACGATATTCGATAATATAATATGAAGTATCACTTGAACCTCATGATAACAATGATCTTTATGAGAGAGATATTAATGTTGAATTTATAATTACTATTTATAATGGTTTATGATATATAGATAGTAATTCAAAAGAAACAAGGATATATGATTTAATTTAATTTAAAATTTAAAAAGATAAATCTATTGAGTTGATCATTTGTTGAAAGTAAATTAGTTAAATTACTATTTTGTTTGGCTATATCCAATAGAGTTTGCTGCTTTACTACAAAAATGATAATAGACACTTTCAGTTAGACATTTCTTACTGTAATGTTATGAACTGGATATTCTAATTTTAAGGATTGATATTCAGAGTTTTTAGAACTTATTTCTTTTAAATAATAACCTTCAGCAAAACTTTTTTTTTATGAATCATTTATTTCAACTCACATTGGTCTTGACATATTATGTCTTTGAGTAAAATAAATTATTGATGTCATATTATCATCACTTGATGGTGATGGTCGTGAATATTCAATTAAATTCAATGAAACAATTTCTCTTGATAATGATCATTCTTCTGATATATCTAAACGTATATATGAACTTTTAGCAATAATTTAATTAATTTATATTACTACTGGTAACATTCTAACACAATTCTAGAGGGCTGTAGAATGCAGTATTTTCGTAACCTGTAACCTGCCCTGTAAAAATTCTGCAACCTAATCCTGTCCTGCCCCGTGAATTTTTTCGCGTACCCTGCCCTGTCCTGCCCTGAGACTTTTTTTCATAACCTGTAACCTGCCCTGCCCTGCCCTGCTATATTTGATATTACAAAAAAATTCATAACTTTTCATCGACTTCGTATATCAATTCTCCTACTTTATGTTGTTTTATACTTCGATATTCTTCTTCGTATAAAATTTTTCCAAAGATGCCTATAATGTTTGATTCGATAAATTAATAGCAGGTTAACAGGTTATGACAGTGCTGCCCTGTAACCTGCCCTGTAAAAATATCGTAACCTGACCCTGCCCTGCTCTGCTACTTTTGCAACCTGCCCTGGCCTGTCCTGGCAGGGTAGGACAGGTTATGGGCACCCTGCAGGGCTCTACACAATTCTTTGCATATACATGAAAATAATGTACAACATCTTCAGTGAATTCAATATAAGTAATCGATGATTAGAGAAGGATTTTTGTCTTATGTATTTTAGTATTTCGAATAGAATTTCTTTTTTTCTCTCTTTTCTAGTATGCTAGTGTTTATTTGACTTGTTCCTATTTGTTCTTTATTCAGTTTCTATCCGATTATTATTATTATTAAAAGTTAGAAGTTGACCAGTTCATTCGTTTGTGTGTATAATTAGTGAAGTTTCTACATAAATCATTTCATCTAAAGAATAAAAAACGGGAAACAATTAATAGATGTCATATTTAATGATTTTATTTTTATCGTTTGTTCATTATCAACATACGTCATATATTGTCGAGTGACGAGAGATAGTATTGGTACTCTTAATGTAAACACTTTGTGGACGTCTTTCTATTGTCTAATACCTGTTTTTTATGCATAATTCGATTGTTCAACTAATTAAGAAAAGAGTGACATTATGACAGCAGCTTACTTTGCAAGAAAAAAAATTGAATTACCTAAGGAGTAAAAATCAAACTTTCTTAGATAAGAACAAATGAATTCTAGCGTAAATAATCAAATGGTTAATTAAAACTAATGTAAAAACAAATACTCTGGAATAGTTTCTTCATTCTACGGCAAGCCATATGTGCACTTTTCAAAATGATCAAAAATGTTTTTTAAAAATAATTGAAAACTTGTTGGAATTTTGATTCTTTTTCATCTCTATAAGAGCAATCCTGCATATATAAAAGTATAAAGAATTTCCTTAAGTGTTATTTTAATAAATTATACGAGATCTCATATACATAGATTGAAATTGAATAGATATAATTAGGAAAATTATATTTAATTTATAAAGTAAAATATTCGAAGTTGAAGAGTCATTCTCTTTTGACTAAGAAATCCTCACATCAGTAATACGAAATGCAGTATGAAGCACGAATCTCGATATTTCAGAAAAACGATATCTGATTCAAAGAAAATAAGAAAACGATTCTCGAATCTATGATGAATGTCGTATCTCGTCAAGTTGTTCGAGCGATTAAATTTATTTTTACGAAAAACTTGTAGCGTTTGATTGATAGTTTAATTATCCAATGTAAAGTCTAAAATGAACTCGAATTTTGATTTTCATAGGATAATTTTCAAAAAAAATATTGATTCAATCATATTCCAACATTTTTTATCTTTGATGAAAAAAATTCAATTTTTGAAATCAATATGAATGAATATGTTTGGTTCATAGTAGAGTTGTTGGATCTAAAGGCAAATTTTTCGGCTCTTTACTTATCTTGTTATGAATTCATAGAAATATTCAAATACTGTAAATGATTATTATTTTACAAACGCAAAAAAAAAACACATTATAGCTCATTCGAAAATAATTATGAATCAAAAAACGCAATAAAAGTGTATTTGATGACGAACAGTAAAAACAAAAAAGTCATGAAATAATGCTTTTATAGAAAGGTAAAAGCATCTTCTTTTTTTTTCTATATTTGTTTCCACACTGTTTACACTTAACATACAAATGTAAAAAAAAATAATTACTTTTCATTTTCATGATGTTTTGATCATCATTTCCGATTTAAATAAATGATTGTCATTCTATATAAAATATAAACATAATAAATCAACTCTCAATATGACAGAAATAAATGATATCATGTGAAAAACATATACATATACATAACATTAAAACTATAGATAAATATTCAAGATTCACCACTGTTATGCATCATTTCATTTTATATTATTCATTTGCGTTTTATTTTATTATGCAATTTTGACATTTACCACCTGCTGACACCCATTCTCTCTCCAATATATATATGTATATATATATGTACGTAATAGCTGTTTAATTTTTAGTTTTCAACAATAACATCATTATCGAAATATATCATTTTCATAGTTTAGTGATCAATTAATATTTATAAATAACTAGATGGATCTATCTTTATAAATATAATTCATCGATTTTAACAATATCTTTCCGTATACATATATATCATCTAAAAATGATCTGTTTATTCGATTAAAATTAAAATTGACGCAAATTGTGTCAAAAAATGATTTATTTTTGTTTTTTTTTTTATTATCATTTTCAATATATATGAAATAATCTTCTTATTATATAGATAAATCAAATAATAAACATATGGTTGAAACAATGACAGATCAATATTATAATTCTCCATATTATGATACAACATCAAAAGTTTTACGAAAACCTAAAACAACGATTATTGTATATGATCAACCAAAAGTTGTTATCGTACGTCGTTATACAAGAACTGTTATTCCATCTGTTGATCCTGATCAATATAAAAGACAATTTAATCAAGTATTACTTGATACACCAACATTAATCGAATGGACTCGACGTCTTAATATTGAAGAAAATATAGTAAATATTATTCAAATATTTAATTTAATTTAATTTATTTTTTTTTTTTCTATAAATAATATTCTTATAGATAACTCCACCATCATTTAAATAAATAATTAAATAAAAAACAATATCGATCAGAATGGAAGGTTAACATCTAAAAATGGAAAGAATGAAAATGTGTATTTTTATTGAAGCGAAGCTTATCAAATGTATTTATGTATATTTATATATTTTATCGATATAATATTTATTCAACTTCGAATTTCTTTTTTTTTTAAATAAAAAAATAATTTTCAACTTATTCGAATACACTCTATTATTATACTTGACAAATCTTTTAATAAATCAGTCAAATTTATTCATTTTATCCAAATTTTATTATGACAACATCAATAAAGGACGTCCTATCTTAGATTATTTTTTTCAACCATAAATTTTTATTTTGACTAAAATAAATAATAAAATAATCCTAACATATTGAAAACGAATGTTATAATAAAAGAATAATGCTTAGAAGTATTTATCTAGCTCTATTCTCACATCTATAGAAACAAATCTCGATTGAATCTATCTCACCATTGACTTAGTATAAATCTAGTCAATGTCAATCTAAACTTCTATATTGTGATTAATCAATTTATGAAAACTAATGACCTTAATATAAAAATAATAAAACATAATAAGAACAAGTAAAATAATAAAATTTCCGTTTTTTTAAAAATCATCAATTTGTTCATTTAATAATTAAATGATATCTATAATTCTAAGAAATTTCTCTAATTGAATACATTCTTTAGTTTTTCTTTTAGTAAAATCTTACTGAATAGTAACATGAATTTCAAAAATAATATTCTCATTAATTATTATTTTTGTAATGATGTGAATATTGATAGATATTCTCGTCTCATTGACATTCAATGTCAACTTATTTGTCTTTCTTTATTGAATTTGATTATTTAAATCGAATGTATCTTTAAAAAAAAAAGCTCTAAACCTTGAAATAGACTCCGTTGTGGTTTGCTTATTCTTAGTTTTCGACTGGCATCAAGTTGATCGTTCGTAGAAAAAAGATGATTGTGACAACCTCATCGAAAAATCATTTGTGAGATTTTTTTTTAGGTTATAAACGAAAAAAGTTCGACCTGATTATTTTATATTGACAGACTTAGTTAGTTTACAATTATTTGTTAGAAAAGATAATTTACTTGATGAGACAAAATCTTTCTCAAAAAAAATTTAAATAATATCCGTTCGAAAGAGATTCACTCAAAAAATTCAATTTGTTTTGTTAATGAAACGTCTTTTATTGATCATTCCTATGAAATTTTCATAGATTTTTCATATACGTATTCATGTCTGTTAACTAAAGTTAACATAATATTTTTAATCAATTGGAAAGAATCTTAACAAAAACCATAAATAAATAGACAACCAAAGAAAAATCAGATTATGATCGAGTAAATATACTATTATTGTTATTTATGACATATATATCTTGACAAATAATCAAACTATTGACTGACTGTATATATATATATTCTATAGATAAAATCATATTTATATTTGCATTTTTAGTTTTTTATTTAAATATAACCTTGATCATATTCGATCTTTAATCAATCATATTCAACGTAAAAAACCAATAATATCTCTTTACCTCAACATAAACAATAATAGTTATTATAATGATGCATATTGATTGCAATACATTCGATTTTGAAAATAAATCAGCACAGATAAATTGTATAATCTTGATTTTTTTTTCCTAATGATAAATCCTATTGAATTAGTTTGAAATCAAAATAAAAGTAACATTGATTTTTTTTTTCATAGCATATTCTAATAAAATGTTTCTAGTTTATCACGCAAACAATAACTACTTATTTAATTATAATAATTGGTGTCTCTAACAATATGGAGCAATATCATATATTAATGAAAGATACGAAGAATCCTACAAAAGTACATTGAAGTCATTTATATTTAAAAATCGGTGGCCTTCGAACTAATCAGAGTTAAGTGAACTAGATTATTCTATTAGAAATAGTATCAATAAAAATACTGATTATGACAAAACTAAAATACGAGAAAATTTGAATAAAAAAGAGTATGACAAATAATTAATTTCATTTATATTTGGAATATGATCAAATTTATTATTGAAATAGTTCGTGTAGTTGAAAAAAGATAATAGTAATAATATTTTTCATGAACATTCACTATTCTTAGGTTATTTTATTTTAAATAAGAACAGATCTCGATTTTTGTATTGATTTATCTCGAAATAATTTCATATTTTACTATTATACAATTCTTCACTCTTAGCCTTACAACAAAAAAATAAAAGAATCTTCAAACTATCTCGATAATTGGAAATTCCTGCAGAAAATTTCATAAGGCATAACAATCAAGATTAATAAAATTTGTTTTCAAAATGGAATATATATTGAAATTCTAATGGTTTAATCAGTATATCAAAAATAAAATTTGTAAATATTTTTCATGCATTTACATACACATAAAATTAGATGATAAAGATTGATAAGACCAATTAATTGGTTCCTTTTTTCTTTTTTTATTTTCAATAAATATAATTATGTCAATCTTGTTTATTTTTATTTAACTTATAAATCAATATCTTAAGATATAATCTATTTTATTATTGAGATGAGTTTTTTTTTTTTTAGTTTAATTCAATATATATATATATATATGGTTGAATAGGTATTATTATTATAAGAATATAATTTTTTATTTAAATAAATATATTTAGTTAAAGATCGAATATAATTAAAAATTTAATTAAAATAGAAAAATAATAATCGAATGATAAAGATAATATTAATCATTTGATTAAAATAATTTCACTGTTGACAATGAGTCAAAATAATCAAAAAGAAAAATTATAAATGACTATTTTGACAAAATAAATTGTCAATTACTCATTGATTATGTGTAGAAACATTATTCATCAATGACATTGTAACAAACTTCAATAGGAAGTTTCTATTTATAAAAACTTATTTTTCTCTTAGCATTTATATCAATTTCAATAAAATAATGAAAATTAAATATTTATTTAGAAAAAGAATCTTTCCTTTTAGATCAATCCCAAGATGAAAATGAATTGAGAATATTATTCGATAAACAAAAAAAAAAATCATCGGAAATCTGCTTTTAAAATGATTTAAAGAAGTTATAATCCGACGATAAAAATCATCATAGAAAATGCCGAATAAATCAACAATTTTTTTACGATTTTGATGATATGATAGAATTTCTAGAAAAGATTTGTCTTCTCATTTTTCTTTTTATTCTTTAAGAAAATGAATCGTTTATAAACACATAGATTGATTGGTATTGTATAGGTTTATGACATAACAAATATATTCATAATGTATCTATCAGAGAGCGAATATGAATCAGATTTGAAACTGGTAGAGTTTCTTTCGACAAAGCGTTTATTACTTCACTTCCACGAAGACATCCAGTGTAAATTCATACGACTCTTGAAATTTTTCATAGTAACAGCTTTTATTTTAGTTTGTAATGTTCCATATGCACTAATATCAAGAACGAAGACAAAACTTTTTATCGAGAAACTCACAACAATTAATATTGAACACAATCCATGGTTTGGTTTGATCGATTTTCTTCAATAAATATGAAGCTGGTAGTTAGCACAACTTTTACAAGAGAATGTAATCTTTCTTGATATTTTTCTAATAACAGCATGAACTAGAAACTATTAGTTATTGAGAATTTCTGACTGTTGGCTAAAAAAACAAAATGTAGAAAAGACAGGTCGAAATTTCAAGGCGAAAATTCTTCAGTTTAGATCGAATTTAACTACTGATGATTGGTTGCTTGTTTTTGTTTTGATCATAATAAACACATTCAACACGGCCTGAGATCATTATTCTACAATGAGAAAGTGCAAACTCAGTATTTAGATCTGAGATATTGATGATAACTAGAAATTTATCAATTGGTGACTCTTAGACTCATATCTCTTGGTCGTTACAACGATGAAAATCGATAAATATAGGTGAAATAGATTAGCGTTCATGTTCTAAAAAAACACCAGTGAAAACCGAACCAGTTAAACTTGGTTCGATTCTGCGACTAATATCTATCAATGACAATTGATTTTCTTTGTATTGATGAATCAACATTTATTTTTTTTTTGTCATTTGATAGACGTTATTTTAATTTTATTAGAGATTTTAAAAATCTTTTTCATATTGAACAATCATCAATCGAATACATCAAATAATCACTAATTAATATCCATTTCAAATTATAAGGCAGGTGAGGATTTATCGAAGAATTTTTTATAAGAACTAGATAGAAATCTTCTATTTTCATCGTTCAACAGAGGCATTAAAACTGTATCGTGCCTTCAACATCACATTCTTCTAGCAGCTTCTCTCATAGCCACTTGCAGAGTTTTTTTTCTTATAAAATAACGCTTTTTTGGTAGGCCTAGAGAGTGCATTTATCATGAACAAATCCGAAAACAAGTCAATTTTTTGGGTGAAAAACCTGCTGGAAGCACACATCAAAATGTTAATAACTCGTAATTAAATTAACCTTTTATCACCGAACTTGTATAGATAATTGATCTTTAGACAAAGTTTATGGTACTATAGTGAATATTCTAATTTCAAAACTCTGTTACTTAACACAATATTTTGCATTTAAGAAAATTGGTTCGTCACTCTGAGATAACTTGTCAGAAAAATTTTACTGTTGAAAATTCCATGCAGTTTCATTTCCGGATAAGTTTTTATAAAAAAAAACGATTCATATAATAATAAAAACCCTATCTTAATGATGGTCATGACATTTTATTGATTAATTAGTTGTATATATATATATATTTAATTTAATTGTATTTATAAAGCTTTTTATTTTTCTTAATTTTATAAAATGTATTAGTTTAAATATCACGAAAATCTCATCAATATTGATGTATCGTTTTCGTTGAATACACACAAATAAAGAAAAAAAAAAAACATATGAAAATGATAAATTGTCTCGTTATAATCAAGAATAAAATATTTTCATCTTATCTTCTCAACTTCACAAATTGCAGAATCTATAAAAAACAAACAAACGAAGAAACGAGACCATGCCGATATAAAAGAACAGAAAAAATGAACTTAACAGAACACATATGTGAATCGGTGTGTATGACGATAAATAAAATAATATAGCATAACTTCAGATAATTGTTTGTTTAGACATAAGAAAAAGATAAGTAGATATGTATAAAAAAATACGCAAAACTCCGGTATAAGATATACTGACAAAAGTAAACAAAAGAATAATGTCTATTCAAACAGAAATAATAACAAAAAAAGAAAACACGATAATATCGACAAAAAAAAATAGGTCTATACTAAATTTCAATTGAGTTTTTTTTTTTTTTTTTATTGGTTTATTTAAATATCATCGTCAACATCTTCACTAGCCCATGGTGGTGGTTGAAAATCTTCCATCATTTTCCATAAAATAGCTTAAATAAAATAAATGATTATTTTATATGAATAATTGATATCTATTCTATACATCTAAGTTAAATATAAACAAAGGAATTTTGTTCATTAGATTTTACTTTATCCTTTTTTTTTCTTAAAAAGAAAAATAAAAATTGTTCGAATAATTGGTATCGAATAGAATAAAAATATTCTATAAGAAGAAATAAATCTTCGATATTTATTTATCCTTCATTTGTTGCTTAATATCATATCATTTAATAAGATATGTTAGCCTTTGAGTTGAAGGAATAATTTATTATAATTAACTTACATTTCCATTTTACTATTGAATATGTTGCATCTTGATGTTCATCAATTAAGATTTCAGCTGATGGTTCTTCCATTGGATCATGTAAATGTTCAAAATATGGATCAGCTAAAACAAAAAAAATTATATTTATTTTTAAAGTTAATAATAAATATTAAATAAAAATTACATAAAGCTTCTTGTGCTGTTGGACGTGTACGATGATCAAATGATAAAAGACGATCAAGTAATGCTATACCTTGTGGTGATATACCAGATATTGGTGTACGAGATCCTGGTTCATATTTATAACCAAATAATTTTTTATAATCTTGTTTATGTTTTGGTGGTAATTTATGAATATAATCTCTTGCATCTATTAAATAAATTAAGAATTTTATAAGAAAAAAAAAACACAAATTACAACATACATGGTTCACAAACTTCATCTAATGTAGCTAAATCAGGTGTACCAACAATATCAAATATTTTTGTTAATTGATCAATATGATCTGTTCCAGCAAAAAGTGGTTTAAGAAGAATTAATTCAGCCATTATACAACCAACAGACCATATATCGACTTTTTCATCATAACGTTCCCAATTAATAAATACTTCAGGTGCACGCCACCATCTGTTTTTTTTTTTGTTAACAAAAATTATATTTATTATTTATTATTATTCTTACCTTGTTGCAACATAACCTGTTTGAAGACCATTTGTTGCAACACGAGCTAGACCAAAATCAAGAATCTATTCAAATATAAAAAAAAACATAATATTCTATTGAAATTTGTATATTTGACTAAGGTTATTTTTTTCGTCTTATCATCTATATCTTATCTATATTAATTTATCTTTTAAATATTTTTGTTTTTTTATTCAACAACAAAATATTATATAGAAATTACATCTATATTATAAAATTATAATTGACAATAATAAATATTCTATTAATTATAAACTATTAAATAAAATAAGTTTATTTGTTCGTACTAATTTAAAAAAAAAAACTAATCAAAGAAATAAAATCAAATATATAAATTATTATATTGAAATATTTATTTTCAGTTGATCAAATTCTTTTGAAGAATTTAAAATTCAAAATAGAATATTTATTCTTTGACTACAAAAGATTAAAAAAAAATTTTCACGAAATTTATTCACTTTTTTTAAATGAAGCAATTCTATAATTTGCCTTAATAAAATAGTGCATGATGCCTAACATTTATTTCTATGCAAATGCTGCGAAAAATATACACATTATGAATGATCACTTATGAAGCCCTTAACGTTTATAAACAGTGGCGATAGTCAAAGAATTAATGATTAGATCTAGTTACAATATCGAACAATGTCAATTTTAATGTTTTCTCAACGAGAATCGAGAGAATTTTTTTTTTAATATGAAAGTATTGAAATAGATCAAGACAATGATTTAAACAAATAAAGAATGATTTGACATATTGATTACATATGTAAATAAGGTCATTTATGATGACATTGTCTAGGTTATTTCCTATCATAAAATAAATAAAAGAAAACTAAAGATGAAATTAAAGAACATAATGAAAACTAATTTTAATAAAATATTTTTTCCTTTGACAACTTACTGTAAGATCCGAATTTTGACTTATTCCAATATTTGTTGGTTTTAAATCCTAAATAAATAAATAAATAAATAAATAACAAATAAAAATATTAATTTACACGATGAATAACACCAGCTGAATGAATAAATTTTAAACCACGAAGAAGTGAATAAATTAATAATTTAATATGATCTTCTGTAAATGGTTTTCCACGTTTAATTACTTTACTTAAATCATAATCAACAAAATTAAGTACAAAATATCTTTAACAAAAAAAGAAACAAATGAAATTTTTATTTATAAAAATAAAATCCAAAAATTCAATTTACAATGTTTGAAAATCATTAACATTTTTTTCCGGTGTAAATACATTATATAATTGTACAACCTATATTTAATTAATATAAACTTATATATATATATATTATTTAAATAGTTATTAAACAAACTTGTGCATCACGATGATTAAGATGCATAAGTAATTTAAGTTCTCTATATGTACGTTTAGCATGTGTTTCACTTTGAAATGGTCGAAGCATTTTTTTAATAGCAACATCTTTACCAGTTACCTAATTAATAACATTTATAATTATTCATTTTTTTTTTACAAATTAAAATACATACTGTATCAACAGCACGAATGACAGCACCAAATGCACCTTGTCCAATAGGACTTAATTCTTGATATCGTTTAGGTAATGTAAATTGTGATGTACCACATTCAGCTGTATACCATTCAACTGATTCATCATTAGCCATTGATTTTATTGCTAATTTAAATAAATATAATTTATATATTTAATTATAAATGAATTATTTACAAAAAAAGGGAAATAATTTATTTTGGTTTTTTTTTTTCTTCCCAATAGAATATAGTAGATGAAAAGAAATAAATTAAAAAAACAACAAAAAACAAAAACAAAAGACCTACATAACAACGACTAACGAAATGGAGGAATATTTTAAATACAAAAATATTTTTTTCATTTTAATTTTTAATATTTATTAATTAGTTTTTTTTTTTGTTTTTATTTTAAAATTATATTGAAATAATTTATATGAAAAATAAATAATTTTGTAGATGTCACTATCGGTCATATGGAATAGATTAAAAAAAAAGAAAAGAAAAAGTAAAATAGATCTATTTACAGTTTGATCTTGATGAAGTATCTTTTGTTCCTTGATAAATACCACAAAATAATAAATTTTTCATTCGTTTAGCAATACTTGGTTTTGTCATATGAGTGTCTGATGAATGTTTTGAAGATGTTCGACGTGTCTAAAATTATATTGAATTCACGTATATTGACAACAACAATTGAATTATTTCTTTTTTTGTTTATTTCTTCTAGCTAACACTCAATATAGTTATTATCCAGGTGTATATAATAGACAAAAATAATATCTAACAAAAAAAATCCAAATGCTAAGTAGAGATGAAAAGACTTCTTGTTTTTCTTTTCTATATATTGCCCTTTTCTTATATTATTTATAAAAGAAAAAAAACAAAGAAGAAACAGAACGATTCTATTTCTGTATAACATCTGATTCGTCTCTTTTACAATTAATCTTTACATATATATTATTATTCTAGTTCGATATCCTATCAATATCAACAACAACTTTAATATTGTTATTTAATGAAAAATAGAAAATAAAATATATTTGTTTTTCTTACCTTTGATGATATTGAATTATTCGAAGAAAATTTCTGTTCATTCATATTTAGATAAAAGATTTTGTTTGATGATGCCGAGTCTGATTTACTTTTCGTTATAGAATAAAAATATGACTGTTAACATTAACACTCTTTGCACGCACACTTATTTACTTACTTTTTTTTTTTTTTTTTTTTTTTTTTTCTTTTCCTCTTCTTTTGTTCTGCTGGCGTATCGTGAACACGATGGCAAAAGAATATAATCGTCTTATAACGATGACGCTATTCATTTGTAAGCTTTACTACAATAACATGACTCATTGTTATAACAGTCTACAAAATTGTTATAGTGATCATTTTTATTCATGATTCATCATCCTTGAACAACAAATATCTCTATTAGTGACGTCACACCTATACGTCAGCCCGTTTTTTTTCATATGTATCACTTATGTGTCAGTATTTCGTCATAGATCAATATTAAATATATTACAAGAATTATTCAAAATCTTTAATTTCAATATACATATTAAAGCAAATATTTTGAGAATTTTTTATCAAATTTATGATGATTAATAAACTTTCTTTGACAAATTCTTATTGATTGTTAATCATTTAATCATTATAGAAGACTTTGATTTTTGTATCAAAAAAAAAAAACCTTGATTGATCAACGGTTACATTTTTTAATTAACAAAAAAAAAAGAACAAGAAACATCAAAAAGTAATTAATTATGAAGCTAGAAATAAGTTAACATAGGTTGACTGATTGATAAATGTCGATTATTGATGAGAAAGAAAAAAAAAAAAAAGAAGGTTTTGCTTGTTATTCTATCTATGTTTTTATGTTGTCGATTCGATATGGTTTGAAATAAATGAGTAATCAATAGAAGGAATTGCCAATCAATGACATCATATTATTGTTTAGATTTTGCTTAGATAATACACAACGCGGAAGTTTTTTTTTTCTTGTTTGTCGAGTATATTATATGGTTATGTCTATTACATCGAATTATTTTTTATCATCATCTATAGAAAATCGTACTCAATTTATTCAAATAAATAAAATAAACAATGAACGATGGATTTTAGGAATGATTATTGGTTCATTACCATTTTTATTAATTGTTATTTGTTGGATATTTATGTCAATTGTTGGTAGTCATTTCGTAGAATATTGTCAATTAAGAAAAAAACGACATAGAAATTTAAAAAGAACAAATCTCGATCAAATGTGTATTGAAATGATTCCCGTTTAAATATTTATTCGATTTTTTTTCAAGATCAAATCAATAACCTTCATTAGATTTGTAAGTTCATTTTTTTAACTTTCTCCTATCTCAATCTATATTAGATTTTTAATTTTAATAATCAACAATCTCTATTTAAAAGAGTCTATAACATATATTTGTTCATTGATGTTGAACAATTAAACATTGTCAATGTAGCTTATCTTCTATACTAATCGATTAGTATAGTTAGTAAACGAAACATGTTAATAACGAAATAATGATTTGAATGAGAATAGAATATTAGCAGGAGAAACTGATTTGTTTCTTGTTTTTCGAGTTAATTCGTATTCTATAATTGACTGAAGTTAAATCGTAATCTATACTATTATACATGAGAATATCTAAACTAAATGCATAGATTTGTTTTTCAATATGTTATCTAATAGAGATAGTTAAACAAAAATTAAAAAAAAAAAAAAAAACAACAAATGTTTAATTGAAAAACTAAATATATATATGATCAATTATCTTAATGTCGATATATGCAATAATTAAATAATGATCAACTTTATTTTTTCACATATGAAATATATCATCTTAGGCTATTTACTCAATTCTGTAAACATTAATTATCTTCTTTAATGCATTAGATCATTTAATGGATTCTTTACATCTCAATATAAACATAGAAAACATTCACTAGGATTTCATTAATCATAAACCATAGATTTCTTTTTTTCAGAGTGTTTTGAGACAAGGAATATATCTCCGTATAAAAACTGACAACTTTAAAAAAAAACCATGCCTCTGTCCTACTCTAAATATTGACATTTTATTTGAAATAATAAACAAATTAACTATTTAGAATGAAAATCAACAGAGAATATATTCTATTGAAATGATCTATATTTGATAGTTATTTTGTTGAATATATTTTTCGAACATAATTGTATAAATGTCTAAATTTGAGTTAATTCATTTTATTTGATGAATATTTCATATGATTTTAATGTATTTTGTTCAACAATCAATATTTGAGAATAGAAGAATTTAATCAATCTTGAATTTTTATTAAATAATATATTCTATTTGAAATTATTCATTTCGATCTTATCATATATTTAAGTAAGAATTATTTTCTTCAATTATTTAATCATACTTTGTCCTACCGGAGTGTAGGTGTGAAATGACGTGAAGATCGTCACTCATACTCATAGCCATTATTACTCTTTCAAGACGAATAAAGCATATATGCGTTACTGTCTTGAAAATGTTAAGATCTCAGAATGCATACTATTTTTCTAATATTGCTTTAACCTATCGAGATAAGTGACAGATAAATTCATTATCTAATGTGTCATGAGTGACGTGGGTGTGAGTCATCGCTTCGAATCTTCGAAAAACTTCGCTTTTCTCCGGCAAAAGTTCTACGAAATAGTCGATGATTCTCGCTTCCCAATTCTAATTGCTTCATGACACTGCTGGGATTAACTATCCTAAAATGTTTATCGTAGAATAATTACTTTCTTCTCTACTAAACAAAAAGTGACACAAAGCATGTACCATCGGGCCCCAGCTGATTAGGTTTTGATGTAATTATTTGGAGCTAAAAATACAATAAATTGATTGAGGAACTACTTTTTGTTGGAAAATAGAAATTTTTTCCTGAAACGGTTAACTCGTGAATATATTCTGATATTTTCAATTCTAGGAATTTTCACGATGAAACCCTCGATAACACAATATGAACAAACCGTATCCAATCGATAAACTTCTAAATGAGACAAATTGAAATAGAATATTTTCTATATTCTATTTAAACAAAGCAGTTTCGAAGTCACCTATTGAAAAAGAAAACAAATCAATGACGAGTGTATTTTGTAACCAAATTGAATAATATTTTATTTTAATTTAAAATAAAAATTTTCAAAGTTTGACATAAATTATTCAAATGTGTTATTATTAAAAATCGAATGAAAATAAAAGTTTTCTTAATATATCATTGAAAAAGTAACAATAATCTTTCTTTTTTCTTTTAATATCTTTGATTTTGTCTTAGACGTTTAGTTCTTAAAATGATCAACATTTTTCAAGGTGTGTTTCTTATTAATCTATTTTTAATAGGATGTCCCAAAAGTCGTGTCCACTTAAGAAATGTGTATAAATCCTTTATTAAGCTTAATGTAGTATTTTTCTTTCATTTGGAAAAGGGGAACATAAAGTTTTTTTTTTGTCTAATACAAACTTCATAAATACTCATTAAATGCTATCACATCTAGCTGCAACATAAAAATGTAGCATTTTTCCAATGTCAAAAAAAAAAACCGGTGTTCAATGCTCTTCCTTTATTTAATTAAATTTCTATCGTTATTATGGACTTTGAGTCATTAATATCCTTTATTGCTGTTCTATACGTATTTAATTGATATTTTTTGAGAAGATCGACTAGTTAATATATTTCTGGAAAGCAGAAGTTTCCTCTGATGCTAACAAAGCTTTCATAATTGGTAAAATCAAGGTATATTGAATGATGTTGTGCCTCTTATTGTCATTAGACTTGGGATCGTTACGTTCTTTCTATAAAAAAAAAATATCAAAAGAATGATCATAAAGCAACATTAAATGATGATTATGACATACAGATCATAATAACGATAGAAATTTAATTAAATATAGAAAAAGCATTGCACACCTTTTTTTTTTATGTTCCTCTTCGAAAATGAAAAAAAATATTACATTAAGCTTATTTAATCAAGGATTTATACGCATTTCTTAAGTGGACACTACTTTTGGGACACTCTGAAATTCTAAATAAAAAACTTCAATTGTCTTTTGTCTCTCTATTATTTATTTGGTCGATCTTATATATGAAAATATTCAACATAATTATGATCATTTACTTATTTATTAACTTAGACATCAACATAACCTATATATATATGTGTATCGGTTTTAAATGAAATCAAACAAGTGTTTTTTGAATATTTAATAGATAAATGATTGAATAAATATAAGAAATAATTGTATTTATATTATTCGAGAAAGATAAAAATTCTATTTATTCGAACAAAAGAAAAAAATCTTGTGGTAGTATATTTGATTGTCAACAATGAAAATACATAATTTTCGATATTTTAATAAGTAGATAGAGTGTCTTTATCTGTTGTTTATCGATTGTTTTTTTTAAATAATATTTTATTTTCTATTATATTTAATGGTCCTTGACTAAATTCATATCGATAATAATGTCATTGGATATGTTGATAATCATATCAAGAAACTTATTCTCGAGAATCAGTTAGAAATCATACAACTGGCACATTTAAATAACATATGTCCGTCTTGCTTCAATAAAATGAACACATTGTTTTCTTAGTTCTACAAGTTAATTCCAAATTTTTTTCTTTCTCATGATAATTGAATATAATCTAAGAAAGTTTACAAATGTTGTTTTTTGATTTCGATCAAATGTGCAATTGTTCGATTGAGGACCAATATAGAATTAGACACGTATTATATGTATAGGTTAGTCTTATGAAAAAAACAATTTTGAATCAGTTTCTATGACTAATCAACAAATGTATTGATTTGAACGAGTCGAACGGAAAATATTTGTATTATCTTCCTTGTAGAAATATTCATTATGCACTTTCAACATTCTAGTAACATATTCAATTATTATTGATAAAGATACGATAGACTCAAACGCATTCTACTCTACAATCATAAATATTTTGAAAATTTCGACAATGCACATCTTTCCTTTATCTCATCAATCAATATAATGCATTAAAACAACATACAAAAAAACAATTTCGTTCTTCATATACGTTCTCATCAAGCTAAATGAAACTAACGAGTTATACGTTGTCTGTAGATGTAGAAAAACGGTAAGATAGATAAGAAAATCTTTCATTGCTGATGCAGTTGAAAATACTCTCTTCACATTTAAATATAATATTTAAATATGTCTATTAGTTAACAATCAATTAAGAAAAATGATAAACAAAAAGAAACTTATCTTTATATCAATTGAAATCTACGAAAAAACTGGAGATAACGAAAACATGGAAGTCAATCGATTTTGTATTTGATTCCCAAGGTATTTCAAGTCTTATCTACCATTGATGAATCCAAAATATTACATTCTAATGATTTACCTTTGGTTTTCTAGGGCTGCCCGACCAAATACATCGTCAAAAAAGTGTAAAAATTTGACCTATACTTTTTTGAAATTTTTTCGTCGCAAGTTTTTCACTATTCAAATTGACTCATATACCAATCGATAGAACTTGCCCAATCAAGTGAATAATGAAGAAATGGTCATTAAAACGAATAATAATTTATTAATGAATAATTTTGACTATTTTACAATTACGAACTCTGTTTTCTTTTTGAATTTTAAACTGATTTAAAAAATGTTTATAACTTCAAAAATTTGTATGGATTATTAATGTTTGCTTATCAAACTTTTTTTTCGAAATAGTCAAAAACATTCTTCTAAACTTAACCGCTTAAGCGTCTATTGAAGTATGTAACTCTGATAAAATTATACTTAATAGCAGCCGAAAAGCTATTTTTTGTATGATATTGATAGTCGGTTTGCAATTCTCGAATCGAAAAGGATCTGTTTCTTTATAATAGTACTAAATTTATAAGTTTTTCAACAAATATTGAATGTCTATAATTGAGAGCGTCATCATCTTTTTTCAAAAGAAGATAAATCTTATTTATTTTTGAGATAAACTGTATATCTTAGGCAACTAACATAACCTTGTTTCTTCTCTCTCAAAAAAAAAACGGTTAGGATTCGAAGATGCTAAAATAGTACAAAGGATCTATCGAAATAACAGCGAAAAATGATTTAAGAAGTCAAATTTCCTGTATATTAGAGGAAAAAATTAGACTTGAATTAAAATTTAATATCAATAAAACCAAAGTATATCTGTCTTGTAAAATGAAGTTGAATGATTAGAATTTAGGCACAAAATTATTTTTTCCAATGTGAATCCCATTATGATGTAAAC